TCTTGTCTCAGTGCAAATGATGTTTACAGTGTGGCATTTTAATTGGTGTTTGTTCTGAAGCTCTGTAAAATCCTGAACTTCTTCAAAATCATTATAAAGAGATGAAATTGTTAGATTTAGGTTTCATAGAGTATGATGTTAAGACACACAGGTATTGTTATTATTTTTCAGTCACAGTAACGTTTTATAGAATTGCCTATTTGCTTGACGAAAATATCTTTCTAACACCAGTGTGCCAGTTTAGGTCCTCCAAGAGACCTCAGATACCAAGATAGAATTAGATGTATAAGAGATTTACTGGAGGAAGATGCCTGTGACAGATAAAGAGGAGTAGGAGTAGGAATAGGTGGCGAGAGCCATCAGGTATTGATGCAGATCTAACACCTGTGGAAGGAAGGGGAGGAAGGGAGGTTGGGTAGGGAGGAAGAGCCTCAGATTGAGGTACAGCTCAGGAGAAGTCTCAATCATGCCCTCAACCAGTGCCCAGTTGCTTGTTAGAGGAGGCCTGTGGCAGAGTGAGAGGGCCAGCCTTCGTGTCCTCATCCAGCTCAGTCGTTTGCTGGAAGCCATCAGGAAGAACATGGCTATGATTGTACAGCAGCCAAATGAGCCCAAGAGCCAAGGGAGGTCTGAGTGGTGCACCTTTACATCCTTCTTCCCACCAGAATTCCCTTTTATTGAAAAATAGTCTTTGCTGTCATTTTCTTCAGCAGGAGAAATTTAGTACCATTTTGTATAGATTTTAACCTTTCAAAACTGAATTATTTTCTTTGAATTGTTTGTTGAAGTCATGGTGTCAGTAATGGAAGGCATTTTGAATGAAAAAAAAAATTTTTTTTTGAGGTAATACGGATTTTGATACAATTAGTGAAGCATATGTCCTGGGGGGTCTCTGGTGCTGGGGTTGGTGGCAAGAGGCATTTCTGCATATTCTTACAGTTATACAGCTGCCCCGCACCTGCCCCAGACACTGTGAACTAAAAGTAGGGTAACAGATTCCCACTAAACCTCAAGGTGGAAAGTGTAGGTGACCACTATATAACCCATAAGTCATGAAATACTTAACTCATTTCTGTCAGGGAAAAGAGAGAACCAATTGTGGGAAGAAAATAAGAAGGCAAAGTAGAAGTGTAGTCTGAGGTTGGTGGTGGAGAAGGTGCTGAGGTGTGCGCAGAAGGGACTGAAAGAGTCAGATGAGACTTTCTTGGGTAGCAAAGTTACTATTATTATTATTATTACTTTTTTTGGGGGGTGTCAGAGGGTGTGTTTTATTTATTTATTTATATTTAATTGTGATTTGGGTGAAGATTTACACAGGAAATTCACTTTCCCTACAGCAGTTCACATACACTTTGTCTCTCATGTCACGGACCACAGTTTACCGCAATGCAACAGCTCTGCTTCCACTTCCTCCCCATAGTTACCTCTTCCCAGTGTCCATCCCTTCATACACTCCTGCCCCCTGAGCTGTCTCCCTGTGCATAAGCAGCCCTTCTTTCTCCCATGATTGTTCTCTCCAA